TTTTGTTATTATTGATACTATCATCATCATTATCATTACCATTAGATCACTACTACCAGTATCTTCATTATCATTACACAATTATCTCGGCACCTAACAGACCGCGTGGGCGGAGGATCAAGCAGTCTCTGTTCCCCAAATATCACCGAAAGGAAGAGTAAAAATCCGCCTTCGTATCGCGCTAAAATGTATAATAGAACCTGTTTGAAGAGACATTCGAACCTCCAGTTATCAAATCCAATCGCAAACCAAGAGTGTTGGCGCGACACCCAATCCTTTGGCCAAGCACCGATAGGAGCGCTGGCCGGTCGCAGGAGGAGGCGGAATCCTGGTTGCCCTTCCCTCCTGCGCGGCTCCCTCGGCCTGTTTTTGTTTCTTGTTTGTGCGTTTGTTTTGCGGAGGTTTTGTGCGTTCGGATTGGATTTTAGGCGTAATTGTATGTGTGGTTGTATGATTTGATTGGTATGTTTGTTTCTGTATTCTCTTTCTTTTTTTTCTCCGATCTTATCATTTCTCTTATTTTCCGTCTACCTTATTCACTCCTTCTCCTAAACACTCTTTCCCTCCCTTTCCCAATCTCCATCTCTTCCCCCTCTTTCTTCTTGCCTCCCTCCCTCCTCACTACGTCTCCCCATCTGTCTATCTTTCCTCCCATCTGTCCACTCATCTATTTATCAGCGGTTTACCTTTCCAGCGACAAGACCGTGCACATTTGCCGGCACAGAATCCTGAGTAGGCGAAGATACCGTTGCCAAGGTAACGGTGACGCATAGCGCGTAGGGGATATGTATTTTTTCTCAAGAACCTTTTTACAAAAGTTATCTCACGGTTGACCTTATCGCGTGCTAATCTCCTTATCAGGAGATAAGAGGATAGGAGGCTGAGGCCTAAGGAGGGAAGGAGAGAGGGCGTAGGAGAGAGCTGAGAAGGAGAGGGGATGGAGAGGGTGGCGGAGGGGAGGGGGAGGGGAGATTTTAAAATTACGGATGTCAGCGTCCACGGAAACACGCTCTGTGCAAGGTTGAGTAGCTGAGATGTGTGCCCATTTCCCTCCCTCTCCCCCGCCCTCCCTCCTGTCCTTCCTAAGGCTGCGATCTTGTTTGTTGCAATATTATCTTCACCCACGTGTAGCGGCTCAAACTGGTTCCAGGCTATCAAGGTGCTTTCCATTTATTCCTGTATAATTTTATTCGGACGTTTTAAGTGGCACGCATACTACACTCCGAGAAAAGTTAGATTTCATTCATATTATAGGCTGAACATCGATTTTCTTTTCTTTATTTTCGCTTTTCTTTAACGAAATAAAGAAAACGTTGCATGTCCATATATAAGCCTCAAGGAGCGGGAAGGTTGGAAAGCTCCTTTTTAAGACGTTCAAAATTGGTGAGCTGGGGAGCGTGGGCAGAGCGAGCGGACTGTTACGAGGTATGCATGCCCTAAATTGTTCGACGATTTGCATTGTTGCGTACGGAGTCTCGGCCCCGAATCCCCCGCTGAGTCTGGCGTGCTGTTGCAGAAATATGAGTCACCTTACGTTCAAATTTAGGTCAGCATTTTGTCCGTAAGTACGTGAAGACTCGCGTGCAGTGTGTCATGGTGAATAAGCGTGAGTTCTCTAAGCAGGCGGAGCGAGAGGAGGTGTGTATGGCATTTGGGCAATGTTGCATTCATTTGCACCCGTTGAAGGCCCCTGTCCATAGTGAAGCAACGCTGAGTAAGAGGTTGCTTGGGCGTCCTTCGATTTAATTCCTTTCCTGTGACTATTTGCTTCTATTACGATTTTGTTTTAATTTGAACAGAGCTGACACGTGATGCTATTCGAAACCCAGCCATAGCTAGTGTTAATTTTCATTACATTTCATTACGAATTGAGCAACACAAAAATACTTTCGCTTAATTACCATATCTGACAATGTCCTGCCCCCACTTCCTCGTCCCGCCGTCTTCCCTCCCACACTCACTGCCAAGCACTCCGACCTCCCCCTCCCTCCCTGGCACCCCCTCGCCCCACGCGCCGTGCCCTGCCCTCGGGCCAACACCTGAGTGGTCGTGTTCAGATTTCCGGCTGAAAAAAGCCAGCCAATCATAGTCAAATGCCGAAGTTCACACACGAGACTCCCAAACAAGATCCCAGCAGCGCCACAAGCCTTTTTTCCCCAGCCGAGTGTCGCTGTGTTGTTTGTTTACGCCCGCGGGCGGGGCGGGGAGGTCGTCTAGTACGCATACCAGCGACTTTTAGTTACTGCGGCTGGTGTGGGTGGCCATTCTTATAAATATAGGTTGTTTTTTTACCAGCGTTATAATGAATTATGCTTATGTGTGGGTGCTACCGGTCGTTTTTGCGGTGCGCATTTTTGTGTGGGCTCTAGAAAATACACACATGCACACGCACACGCTCACGTGCGCACACACGCGCACGCGCGCGCGCACACACACACATACACACACACATACACACACACACACACACACACACACACACACACACACACACACACACACACACACACACACACACACACACACACACACATTTGTGCACATGCACAAACATGAACACATACAGGTAGGCCTACTCATACATTAACATACTCATGCGAACATACACACAGACAATCAACCAATCAACGACGGCTCAACTGCTCAACGTAAAGCTCGGAGCACCGACGCCGAAGTCCGTCGCGTTCCGCCTCAAGGAACCGGAACACGGCATCGGTTTAAAGGTCCCGCCACGTTGACTTAACCTTCCGCCCAAACCCGCCAGCTTCCAGGGCATTTTTTCCCGCCGTGTCTTTCCTTGACATTCCTCTCAAGGATATTCGGTTTGTGCGAACACCCACTCCGAGTGTGCAAGAACTGAGCGCCTCGTCCGCATCCCTCTACAGCGACCTCCTCCGCTCTGTTGCCTTGTGAATTCGCTGAAGGTCTTCGGCTTTCGGGAAGCTTAAGCCAGAGCTTTTGTTTACAGTTACGGATAGATTGCTGAGGCAGTGCGTCGCTTTTTTTTTTAAGACTCGCTTTTAGTCTGCCTTTTTAAGTCATACCTTAGCGACCCGATCCTGTTGTAGGGCCAGCGATTCGGATGCGGTGGGTAAGGTAACCGGGGAAGGACAAAAAGCTGCAGCGAACGGTACGAGTGAGGGCGTGGAGGCTGGGCGGGGGTGGGGGGTGGGGGGCTGTGAGAGAGGTTGTTTGCGGCCCGTGCCGTTCACCTGTTTATGTCCCTTGTGACTGCGCCGCCCGTGGCCCGTCTGTTTGTCTGTGCTGCGCCCGCGTCGCGGCCTTTTGTTAGCTCTCTTTGCACGGGAAACAGTGCTTAATTTTTTAGAGTATATATATGTATATATATATATATATATATATATATATATATATATATATATATATATATATATATATATATATATATATATATATATGTACATATATATATATGTATATGTATATATGTATGTATGTATGTATGAATTTTATATATGTGTGTATGTGTGTGTGTGTGTGTGTGTGTGTGTGTGTGTGTGTGTGTGTGTGTGTGTGTGTGTGTGTGTGTGTGTGTGTGTGTGTGTGTGTGTGTGTGTTATGTACCAAATGATACCACGGACCCATAAGAAAGATATGTGCCAACTTGACCCGACCAGAAGTAGCAGACAGACAACAGTGAAAGCTCTCCTTGTGACTGTCCCCCGCCTGCCCCAACCCCTCGCCCCTTGTACCCACCCCATGCCCTCCCTCATACCCCCTCCCCGTTCATAGACAAAAGTGGAGGAGAGTAAAGAATGGCAGAACAGTGGGTGGCCGAAAACACGTTACTCAACTCATCGAGGTGTGCGTCACTAAGGGAAAATAAAGGCTTCGGCCGCTTTTGAGAGAGAGAGAGAGAGAGAGAGAGAGAGAGAGAGAGAGAGAGAGAGAGAGAGAGAGAGAGAGAGAGAGAGAGAGAGAAGAGAGAGAGAGAGAGAGAAAGAGAAAGAGAGAGAGAGAAAGAGAGAAAGAGAGGGAGGGAGGGGGTGGGGGGATGTAACTAACAACTGTACAGGGTAAATTATCTTACTGAATCTGTAACACTGACTCTGTGAATCATACTTCAGGTTATATGCATATTATTGCCCGTCGTAAGAGTGAAATAATTTCTTTAAGATAAGTTGGTATTAGAAATAAAGTTGATCAAGAAAGATTAAAGTGACACAAAATAACTAACTCTCCAGAAGCAGAAACATTAAACCATACTTGGATGACTGTCTTGTAAAACTAGTTTGACATAATCGGGTCATAGCAGTTTAAGCACTGTAGTAAAGTACTGCTCTTACACTGCTTATACTGTACTTTTTGTAATGCCTTCGAGTTCTTATTGAACAAGCAGACTGTTTCATGCGACTGACTTTCCATAGCTGTCACTTATCTCTCATGAGTCAGGTTTTTTTTGTTTTTTTTTTGGGGGGGGGAGAAGAACCGTGGCATGTTGACTTTTTGGAATGGATGCTGCAAATAGGATTTTGTGGTTAGAGCCTAATTGCATCTCTGTACGTAAATTATACATGTCTAAGTGAAAGGAAACCTATATAAGCAGGGAAGTTTGCGTGTGTAGGAGAAGGTCAATCAAGTTAACATATTTTTCAAGATGAACTCACTGACGGCAATTACATATTTATAGTTTTAATTATGTATCTTGAACTCCGTAATTACGATTTTCTACCCAACGACCACTTAGATATTATACAATTAGATAACCACCTGGTCTAAAAGGGAACTGGTTAATCCCTGCCAGAATAGCTTATAGTATGAAGGATGATAGGAAAATGTATAGGGCTTGAATATTAGTAGTGATAAACTGAGACTGCTGATCATAGTAGTAGTAGTAGTAGTAGTAATGGTGATAATAGTAGGGCAAAGCTTAGAATCACCAGTAACACCGTCTTTGTGATCACTGACATTACTAATGTTATTAATGTATATGTGAATCCCAATATTACCCGACTGACCTCCCTCCCGTGTCATTCCAGGTCACCCCAACAGTTTGGACGAGCGGCTGGATGGGCGGAGCCTCGACATCTCGCACAACATGGCGCCCGCCTCCCTCTACGCCCGTAGCAATGGGTCGGCGTCATCCGCCTCCCCGCCCACGGTGTCTACGCCCTCCATGCTCATCGTCCCCCAGCCCATCAACGCCGCCAAGATGCCGCCCACGCCGCCTGGTATCGGACAAAACCCGCCCAATAACGGTTCCGCTCGGAAGTACCAGTGCAAGATGTGTCCACAGGTAAGTCCCCAAATACACACCTGTCTTTTATTTATTTTTATTTTATTTTTTTGTTGGGGGCGGTAAAAAAAGTACCGCAAGTATTCCTACTTCGGTCTTGGTTGGTCACGTTCTATCGCCATTGTGCTAGGTCACCTAGGCTCCGGAAAGGGAATTCGCCCACGCATTTCGCCCGTGTTGCAGATTGCCATTTTATCAGTAACTTAAGACCCAGATTAATGGCATTTCCAGGCCGTGGCTAGGGCTTCGTGGCTCTGTAGGGAAGCGTCATTAGGTGTCTTTCCATCCCGAGGTTTTATTGTCGATGTAAACTGAGCCAGCCGTAAGATGTCCCAATTGACTGGTTATGGTGATGGTGGCGACAGGTAACGAGTGGGTGGGGGTGGGTGGTGGGCGGGGAGGGGGAGCTGTAGTGTGAAACCCTCGTCGTCCGGCCATAGGAGGCAGGAAGCCACGAGGGGGAGGGGGCAGCCTTGGCTCTCTAGATTGCTATAACAAGAGACTGAAGGTTCGCCGCCACGGTCCAGCGCGGCCAGGGTTGCGTCACGGGTCCTTATAGGTCAGAAGTCTCTTTCACTGTGTCAGCCTCGGTCCAGCTGCTGCAATATGCAACCCCGCCACCGTCGCAGGCTCCGATTCTCCTCCTGCAGCAGGCTGTGTCTGTGCTCCAAGTGCTGATACCGTGGCCTGTTATGCGGAAGACCCCGAGCGCCGCTGGTCACGTCTAATGCCTGTTATAGCTGCGTCCTGATTCCTGTGGTCGTAATGCTTGAGAGGCTGGAGTCGCAGTTGCAGAGCGAGGGAATTCTTAGTATTCACACCATTGCATGTCAGGCTATTCATCATTACTGTTATTATTATCATTATCATAATTACCTCAGTCCTTATTATCCCGCCCGCGAGAGGTTTTGCTCTCAACCCTCCACGCCCGCCCGCCTCCGTCCCCACAATAGGAATGATGGATAATTCGGCAGAGGGCCGTGGCTTTGATAGATTGCTTCGTTAATCTATTAACGAAATGGATGAATGTCTTCTCGCGGTTGCCCAGCTACCCAACAATGCCCCGTTTTTATTATTTACGTTTTTTTCTTGCGTTTCTTCTCTCTCCCTGTTTTCTTGCATACCCGCCCGCCTGCCTCTGCCACCGGCCCCCGAACGCGTGCGTGTCAGCCGCTGCGCAAACGGGTCTCTTTAAAGTGCTCTCTAATGATACGCTGAGCCTTATCACCTATAGGATGAAAGTTGACCAGAACAGCTGCGGGCGGGGGCTAATCGCACACGAGGGCTGCAGCGGCGACTTGACAGCTCCGGACTGGACTCGGCGGGTTTTTCTCTTCCTTGGAGACGTTGTGTTACGTGTGCGCGTTCGAGGAAGGGGGTGGGGGGAGGAAGGGGGGGCAATGGGGGAATGGGTATGTGTCCTGCTAGCGGAAGTGGCGCGTGAACTTTAAAAGTCCAAGATTACTTTTTCTCGTATTGATGTATTTTTTGCGTTTGATAATATGTAGAGATCCTTTGTAAGCGATCAGATTTCCCCCATATAGGCTATCCTTGTTGCGCTTGGTAATATCTCGTATCACCATTATACCTCTGCTCTTATCTACTAATAAGAGCGAAAGTTATTTTAATAATCATCGAGTAGAAAGGTTCTTCCGCAACGCAGTGAAAAGAAAAGAGGGAAGGAGGGAGGTAGGGAGGGAGTAAGAGAGTTGCAAGAGCAGCAGAAGTGAACTTAACTACCCCCTGACCCCTACCCCTCTCCCATGCCCTTCCCCCCACTTCCCTTCCCCACACACCCCGCCCGCAGGCCTGCTAATCTCCACTTTACAATACCTTTTGGCCATCCCAAGGCTCACGCAACACGCTGCCGGGTTTTCCACGACTTCACACTCGCTCTGTGCGCTATTTTAGTTAGAGGTTGACTCTCTGCTCTAGCTCTATGGGCGCTTGTTGTTCTCGATGTGTGGAAATGGCTAGAAAGTAAGAGGGCGGCGCGAAAACGGACCTGCAGAAACTGGAATCTAGGGTCACTACAGGATTCATTTCCCCCTTTAAAAAACACGACCAAGCAACACGGTACATTTTCACTCGGTTCTCGCGGCCGGTTTTATAGCAGTGTTACATTTTCGACTTGCATGAGGCGTAGCAGCAGGGCTAGGTCGCCGGGCCCAGATCCGACTTTCAGGAGCCGCGCCGCTGGTACCATGTAAGGGGACTCTAGCGATAAATGCCGATTCCGGGCTCACATTCCAAGGCCTCAGTCAATCGGTTTGATTAAAGTCGAAGGGTAGAAAAAAAAACGGCGAGTTACGACATATTTAATGATGGAATATCGACCAATTTGTTTAATTAGGAGCGACCATTTGCTCCCGTCCTCTCGTTGCGCGACGGTGCTTAGGTCACCTTGCAGGTCCTTGCAGCCCGCCGACACCAGCTATTACACGGGAGAAATTTCTACTCGGAGGTCCCGAGGCCAAGCAGCGAGTGAGGCGACGGCGACCTGTGCGGCGCTGGCCCAGATGGGGAGAGAGGCGCTCGGCGGAGGGGCCGGTGGCGCTGGCCGCTCGCTCAAAGGATCCCGCTCGCGTGTCATTAAAGCGGATTAGCTGATGAACACAAAAAAGGGAAATCAAATACCAAATGCAATGTATTTTTTATTTCAATTCTCCATCTTTAAGGAATTCGATCGTCTGCACTTCGTGCCTGCGGCGACTGGGAATACGTTTTCGAATTTCTTCTGCTGGAGTCCCGGTATCGCTCGAGCATTCGGACGCTGGCGACACTGATACCATTACTGGGTATCGCTTCCTGCAGTGTCAACCGCCAGACGCCAAGACTGATTTCTCGGAAAGATAATGTGCTACCCGTTCCTCCCTCACATTTTCATTCTTTCTTTTCAATTATTATCATAGTTTTCATGTGCCTTCTGGTTTCTGGTTTCTTCTTTGTTGCATTTCCATTTCATTTGCGACATTCACCTAACTTTCTCTAGCAACTGTTTGTCTTTTGTCGATAGATAGAATGTATGTATGTAACTTTGTATTCATATTTATATCTATATTATATATTTATTTTCATATACGTACGTATCTATACACACGCACACTTGTGTCGGGGGTGCGTGGGTGTGCAACTGTGCATATATTAGCGAGCGAATGAGTGAGCTGGAGAGAAGAGATAAAGAAGGAGAGAGAGAGAGAGAGAGAGAGAGAGAGAGAGAGAGAGAGAGAGAGAGAGAGAGAGAGAGAGAGATAGAGAGTTGAGAGAGAGAGAGAGAGACGGACAAAATAACAGCTATACTTTTAGTACATCAGTAATAGCGAGGGACAAGGAAAATTTAATACCTGAACGTTGATGTCCTGGAGGAACAATAGAGCATTTTACTCCTTGTTGGGTGAGGGAGCGAGGGAGGTGGGAGGGAGGTGGGAGGAGTGACCGCGGGGAGAGTTAAGCGAGGAGAGAGAGAGAAATGGGGTACGGGGTTGAGAGAGAGAGAGAGAGAGAGAGAGAGAGAGAGAGAGAGAGAGAGAGAGAGAGAGAGAGAGAGAGAGAGAGGGAGGGAGGGAGGGAGAGGGGAGGGAGGGAGGGAGAGAGACAGGACGAAAGTAGGAAAAAAATACGAAGTGCTCAGCTGTGATCCTGTCTAGGCCAAGATGAGGTCAAGGGAATTATGTACGAGGCTGCAGTGATTATTTAGTCTTAGTCAACCCACCAATACCATTCCGAGAGCTGAGGGCGAGCTAGAAAAGGCGAGGAGAAATGTTGTGAAATTAAGAGTGGATAGAAGAGTTTACATGTATTTTAGTAGAAATTGAGAGGGAGAGGGAGAGGGAGTGGGAGAGAGTTGTAGGCCTGCTTTTGTGTGTGTGTGTGTGTGTGTGTGTGTGTGTGTGTGTGTTTGTGTGTGTATGTGTGTGTGTGTGTGTGTGTGTGTGTGTGTGTGTGTGTGTCTGTGTGTCTGTGTGTCTGTGTGTGTGTGTGTGTGTGTATTTGTGTTTATGAGTGTGTAAGCGCGTGTTTATGAGCGCGTGTGCAATAATTGTCCATGCATTTGCCAACCTACCTATGTGTGAATACTGGTGTTAGAAAGCCTGAGACGCCGCAAGCAAATTTTTCCCCCGCGAGTGAACTGGACTTTAGTTGTTTGCTTTTGTTCTGCTGATTTGCATGTATATGTCGTTGCTCGGCTGTTTATCAATGGAACAAGTATGTCATACTTCTCAGCCCCCGTAAATGTTCAAGTTGATATTCCAAGCACGTCGTGAGTGGTTATGTTAATAGGAACGCTGCCGAGGTATGTTGATAGTACCCATGTACCGTTGCTTGGTTTGTGCTTTCGCAGTGAGCTTGCATTGTTGCTGCCACTTGGGATTCTCTTAACGCCCGTGTACCATAAGAAACCCGAATGAAATAGATTGGTATGCTAATCTATCCGTGTTGTGGATGCGGTTGGTGAATGGCAGCGAGGATAGATGGTTCGAAACGTGAGATGCGTGATGGTGACGGTAATGCTAATGGTGATGGCGGCGATTATAGTGAATGCAAGGTGTCCCGGTGCTCTGGTAAGCTTGGTAGCCACGCCCATTTCTGGCATGCAGCTCCTCGCGTACCCTCCGCGCTGGCTGCTTTGTAATCGTAGTTTTCTCCGCTTTCTTGTGTGGGCTGGGGAGGCGTTATTGGCGGCTGTTATTTATATATGAGATTTTCTTTTATTTGCGTTTATCTGCTTCATAATGTTAGCGGGAAAGAGAGAGAGGGAAAAAAAAACTTTTGACGTGAATGAACATGAGGATCTGCTTTCGATTGCATGTGCAGGCAGATAAGGTGACTTCACAGGTCTTTCGCAATGCAGGAATCCCCGCCTTCAGTATCCCCTGTCATACCACCCCCTCCTTCCCACCCCTCCCCACACCGCTCCTGATTTACCTTCCCTCTTCCTCTTTCTCTTCCCCTCCTCTCTTTCTCCTGCTCGTTTTACTTATTTGCCCTTTCTTCCCCCA